AGGGAGGTCTATATTCAGCAGTGTACTTTTGATAGGCTATAAGTAATAAAGTAATGGATGACTCTTTTGGATATTCACGTGTCATTCCCACGCAGTATTACATACATAATAAGTACTTTCATGTACAAATTGGCCACACTCCTGTCGCTTTGTACTCACTCGTGACGCTATCTGAGACTGGGTAGAAAACTTCATGCATGTTTCTTTTTGTGTATTCTTCTTCATCATCAGTTCTTTAATGTCCTTAAAATCGCGCTTGTTAGGTGGATTATGATTACAGTAAGTTTTGCACTTTTGACACTGCTTCCCGACACCGGTCAGGATATTTTAAGTATTGTGTAAACGAGACGATCAAACCACCACCTGTCGGTAGCTATAAGATCGTTTTGGCATATTTTATAGTTGCCACTTACGACGTTTCGCACTTATGACACTGTTTCTGGATACCAGTCAGGATATTTTAAGCATTGTATAAACAAGACGATCAAACCACCACCTGTCGGTAGCTATAAGATCTTTTTGGCATATTTTATAGTTGCCACTTACGACGTTTCGCACTTTTGACACTGCTTCTGGATACCAGTCAGAATATTTTAAGCATTGTATAAACAAGACGATCAAACCACCACCTGTCGGTAGCTATAAGATCTTTTTGGCATACTTTGTAGTTGTCACTTACGACGTTTCGCACTTTTGATACTGCTTCCCGACACCAGTCAGGATATTTTAAGCATTGTGTAAACGAGACGATCAAACCACCACCTGTCGGTAGCTATAAGATCTTTTTGGCATATTCGATAGTAGCCACTTACAACGTTTCGTATATTTGACACTGCTTCCCGACACCGGTCAGGATATTTTAAGCATAATGTAGACGATACGATCAAACCACCATCTGCCGGTAGCCATAAGATCTTTTAGGCATATTCGATAGTTGCCACTTACGTTTCGTATTTTTGACGCGGCTTCCCGACAACGGTCAGGATATTTTATGAATTATGTAAACGAGACGATTACATCGTCATCTGTCAGTAGCCATAAGATCTTTTAGGCATATTCAATAGTTGCTTGTTACGACGTTTCGCACTTTTGATACTGCAGGATATTTTTAAGCATTGTGTAAACGAGACGATCAAACCAACACCTGTCGGTAGCCATAAGATCTTTTTTGGCATATTTTATAGTTGTCACTTACGACGTTTCGCACTCTTGATACTGCTTTCCGACGCCGGTTACGATATTATTTTAGGCGTTGTGTAAACCAGACGATCAAACCATCAGACAGTAAATCCACGCGTATTATAGCTGCATCAAGAGTAGATCAGCTCTACCGGAAAAGGACCACGCCCGCACAGAATACCAACGTGAAATAGCAGCATAGTGCCGCTGTATTTCGTATGGTGAGTGACTAGGACCGATGTTACTTCGTCGGGAAACTTTTACGGTTAAATTTAGGTGTTAAAAGCCACAGCATTCACTTACCATTAGGTGGTCTGTGTGCTTGTTTATCACCATTACTTCTGAGAAAAAGATGGATTTTATTTTGTGGTAGTCACGGACCTAACAGTTGAACTACAGGGCTGTCTAATAAACATGATAAAGTCGAGAAATTTGTAAAAAAATAAATATCGAATTGTACAGTTAATACCGGTAATAAAGCTACAAGATTGTAAAACTGCTAATCGTTTTTTCGAACCTTAGCCTTTAAATTTGTAAAATTCACCACTGGTTTTTGATGACAATTATATTTTACAAATTTGTGTATTTTAACAATGATTAATATCATCTGTCAGAATTGTATTACATTTCTGCGAAAATGTAAACTAGAAACTACAATTCTGCGTTTAATAGACCTGTTTTTCTGACAAATTGCTTTTCGAGCATTGACACAAACAATATCTTATTACTGCGTAGGTAGTTTTGAGTAAGAATCTACTTCAACAGGTCATTCTATTGTACAGAAATATGTAAAATTGTAGCTAGAATCTCTTGAATTTCCACCTATACATTTTGCAGTTTTTATTGAAGACTTATTATGCAGATATAAAATTTTAATCGTTATTACAAATAGTAAATTGTTTAATTAGAAAGGGCCCAGGTAGGCAATAACTTTCTTATTTCAATATCCATCCATCGATTACAGCCTATAAAAGAGCAATGCTAAACATAAGCCTCCCTTATAGATTGCCGCATGGTATTTTACCATAGTTGCGACGCTTAGCAGGCAGATGCTGCTATAGGTAGGAGATAGGTCTCCCCCTTCATTTTTCCTCTGTCGTGTCACCTCTTACGACTCCTCAAAACGATATGCAGTAGTGGATATTCTTACACCGCCACTGCACGCATTATACAACATGTAACATAATTAACGCACTTTGAGAAAGTAGTTTGTTCAGAATCGTTTACTGAATCGATTCCTATCATTTTTAATATAGGTAATTTTTTATCCCAAAAATAATTAAAACTACGTAAATTACAGTCACACTAAATCTGTACAGTCAAAACAAACTGAAATGGACCGTAACTTAAGGCAATAAGACTTTTAAGAGTGCAGTTTTATTTGTATTATTACTAATTCTGTCATTCAATAAAAATAAAGAAAAATGAACTTTATTTCAAGCACGTTAAAGTCTTTGCGTTCGTGGATTTGTACTGTGACCACAACATTCTTCCGGAATTAGTATAACCAATTTGATAAATAATCAGTGCATAAAAATGTTTAACTAAAATTCAGTGTATGTATTATGATTATAACATAATGTACCAATTGGGGTGTCTGAGGGTGTGCGTTAATTATGTTACATATTGTATAATCAAATTAACGTAACATACTATAATTAAATTTCATTAAATAAAACACCTAAAACTAAATGTAACATGTAATATATTTCATTTCATTTCAACACTACAATATTATATATGTAAACATAAAATAGTCTATTTACATAAATTATTGCAAACCTTAAATAAAATCACAACATAAACCGGTGGCATCCACAAACCATTTTGTAAAATATAAATATAATCTAGTTAGCAGGTAAATAATGATTTATTAAATACTATTATACATCTTTTAGAAACGCTGGTTAATAATACACGATGAATACATTTAAATTTCATAACTGAAATTTTAGTTACAGCCGCAAAATAGAAAAAATCAAAAGACAAAAATTTAAATTTACAACTGAACATTTATTTCATTTGTACCTTGTCATAAATATCTTTTTAATTGAAGTACTTTGACGTCAATCCGAGGCATAATTTAATAAATAAGTCGGGACGGCTTTGAAAAATATTTTGGACACTACCAGTAGTAGTTTGAGACTTCGAAAAAATTAACATTTATTAAAAACTATCTACCAAACTATCTCTAATTATACATTCACATATTTTAGTGTTTATTTATATCAAGGACGAAGTTATTAAAAAAATAAAATAAAAAAGGATACAAAAGCAGTGAAACGTGAACAATGTTATTGTTTTATATGAGAAGGTAAAAGTTACTGCCTACATATGCGTCCCACATTAGCGCATAGGCCCTTCTTTTTGGAGAAAGGACTTTTTTGGAGCAGAAACGAGTCAGCCGCACTGTCCCATTGTGTGTTGGTGAACTTCACTTACTCTCAAAATGTATTAAATTTCACTGATATGAGAAACATATATTACTATTAGTTTGAACATGCTGCCGTCGCGGATAGTTTTAATATCAATCGAGATTTTGGCGGGAACTTGACCGTTCCGTCAATTCCATCATTAGTTTCATTTTGAAAACCACCTAAATAATTATTCGTCCAGTACAAATTATCATACATTCTGCCTTGTATTGTCGGCACAAGAATTTACACTACCCTATATTAACATTCCGTGGTTGTCGTAAAAAGCGACCGAAGGAAAAAAAAACATGAGATCTTGAGCACAGCATCTTTCTGACAACAACCAAAAATAATTTAAAAAAAAACTGCGGTTGCCAACACGTCTACCAAGCATGGAAACTATAGAAAAACTGAGGCAATCTAAGGGTGCGTATAGCGACAGTAGCCTTACGGTAGGTCGTGGACCGCAACTCAAAAGGTGATGAGTTCGAATCCGCCATTCGACTACTGTCGTGAACCACTCCTGACACAAGCATTTTCAGCTTACCAGGAGTGGTTAAATGGAAAATGAGTAAGGTCAACAGCATTACTAGTAATTAAAAAAAGAATCATGAACATAAAAAGGAATACTTTATATTTATGCATTAGAAATCGAGCCTTAACTTCAAGATTTTTAATTATTAAAAGGTCATTTTTAAAATTAAAAATTTCCAGTTATCTGTTGAGTTTTAAATTCTATTGACGCCGTAAATTTTTTTACAATTTAGAATTGACATGAATCAAAATTCTTTAAAAAAATTGTAAGATTTATTACTGTACCCTACTGAAATAGCAACACATTTATTACATTAAGGTTTTACTTTAATGTTTAACTAAATATGAACTTAAAATGTTAAAAGTTAGCCTCTCATAGTTTTAAATTTTTTTACAATTTCAGACACAGTTCAGAACAAATTATTGTTCAGAAACCACCATAATTTCAATGTTTCAAGCTTAGCTGTTTTCTATTTTAATACCATGGCAACACCAATTGTTAGAACCCACTTACACATACATACATAAATATATAACAACTTTGACACTTTACACTGCTTACCGTTCCTCAAAAACTAGCTTAAGAAGCCACTTATCTTTACACCATTAATTCGTTACAAGACAGACAGAGTCAAACAATTCAATAGAAGTCTTAGTACAATTCTGATACTATCTCTGATTCTGATACTATCTATGTTCAATATTAGAAATCACATTTATTATACAAATATATTTTGCCTTTTCTTTCTATAACACGGACACGAGACAAGTCAGCAATCGCGTATTTTTAAAACTCCATAACAGCACCATTAACCGTCTTCTGTCCATTCCATTTGATGAAAGGTCCTATTACCTCCTCGGTAAGGGCTAATATCATATAGTCTCTACTATTCCTTTTCGCTTGTGTCGCGGCGCTTCGCCCGAGATGAAGGAAGTCTCCTCTGATGACATACTTACCGCCTTTGGTACTTGAGTCGATGTACTCGGTTGGCTCTAAAAATTGTACAAATAGTTATAATTTTAGTATAAATTACACAATATGTAAAAACACCTGTCCGATCCGTAAAGGTGCAAATAGGTATCTTGATATAATTCTATTTATAATATCCTTTTTAGAGAATTAATTAAAAATTGCGGGGAAAATTAAAAATACCCTACAAATAATAAAATAAAATTTGATTAAATGTGGAAACTTCCATGGCAATAATATAAGCGGACAGCCGTCCGGAAACTATAGCCGCCCTTTGAAAGATACTGCCGTTGCCGACGACGGTGTTGCCAGATTTAAAAATTTGCAAAATTTTAAGTAAATTATAGTAAAATCTTTTAATAGCATTTTTATATTTATTAATGTTACGATAAATTTTTGGTAATATTGTCATATAACTATATGACGTATGGCATGGAAACTCGGTTGTCTTTGTCAATTACGGCCATCACAACAATCTCAAATTACTTTTTTAAATTATGATATCCACGAAATACATTATAGTCAACCAAATCTAAGAAATACCTTTTGACGTTTCGAACGTACTTACACAATTTAAATTAACCTTTTATGTAAATCCGAAGAATTATGACAAAAATATTCAAATAATCGGTAAAAATATTGAAATAAATGAATCATTAATTTTTTAAATGTATTATTTGTTTAATTAAATTTTTATTTTTAAAATTCCTTAAATTACATGAATCATGAATAAAACAAGTTTATTTTTTTTACTTTGTCAACGTTAATTTTTGTAGGCAAAAAAACTCATTTACAAGGCCGCGCTGAAAAAACCACTACGTAATTTCAATCTCCCGCCATTTCGGGAGCTTACTGTGCGTAATTTTGTGATCTTGTGTTTGTGTCTTTTTATTTTGTGACTCGGCTTTAACTTTTTGAACTGTTTCTTTTATATTCGTTGAAGCAGGTGCTCAAGTCACAAAGGATGATTGGGCAAAAATGGTAGAAAACACAAAAATATTGATTATGTATGACTTTGAAAGAGACATTAATTTTGACTACATTATTGAAATTCAAATAGTAATTAATCTAAACAACAACAGCTCAACTAATTTTTCTGAAAGTAATTGTATAAATTTATTTTCAATCTAAAAATTTTATAGCTGTGCCTCTATAAATATGCAGTTACAACAAATTCGAAGAAATTGATTAATATTGTGTTTTAAATTATCCGTTTTAAATTTATTTTGGTATGATTCAAACCAAACTGTAAATTATTACCAATTCTAAATAATCGATATCGATTTTTTTAAGAATCGAATATTGAACGTTCCCATTTTTTTGGTTGGCATGCTTGGTGCAATAAGTCTGACAGCTGTCAAAATGTATTTCTTAGATTTGGTTGACTATAGTAGTATAAATTATTATTTTTTTTTGTACCTTGGTATAAGTAATAAGTGGTAACATAGTATATAAACATAATATGTGATCCAATTAATTTCATTGTACTTAGGTTATATTAGCGGAATGTACAAATTCTTTAGATAGTATTTGATTATTTAACTTTTGCTTGCATCCTAATATTTCTATAAATTAACGGTGGGGATATGGCGCTGACAGCTGAGGCACAGGTCTCCTAGTTCGGCTGCAGATGCTATGTTTTCAGGTATATGTACTAATGTAGCTTTATTAAATGTTAAGCAAATATCGTGATATACAACCTCTTGGAAATAAAGAACTTATTATTATTATAGAATAGAATAAGTCATTTATTGTGCTAGTTGTAGGTTTAAGAGATTTAACACTATAAAATAATTAAGTATCACCACAACCTGCCTAGATAAGGCTTACAATATTATTAAAATTATGGAACTTAAAACATCATCTCATTATTCATTAAATCAAATCAAATAACACGGATAATAAAGCATAATGTCATACAATGAATTATTTTAACAAAAGTGGATTATAAATAATAATATCAAAAGTACAATGGTATTATACCAGTATAATCTAAGTCTATGAATGGAATATTGATATATCAAAATACATGTAAGCTTATAACTAAAACGTAGTGATTTGAATACTCTTTGCTTAAAACATAATTCAGAAAATATTTCAAATATCAATTAATTTAAAATGTAAGTTTGTAGCTCAAATAATCTTTTAAGGAATAAAAACATCTTTCAGTCAATAATTCTAATAATTTATTCTTAAATTTTTTTATTTCTAATTCTTTTAATTTGTCAGGTAAATGATTATATATTTTTGGTCCTAATGCATAAAAACTTTTTGAGAAAAAGGCTGTCCTAGATGTGTGAAACGGTATAACAGTAACACTACTCTTTGTTTGCCTCGGGTGCTTAGCAATGTGCGAGTTAAAATAATGTAAATTACTTTTGACGAATAAGCAGGCGTGGTATATGTACAACGAGGGCAGATTTAGAATTTTTAATTTTACAAACAGAGGTCTGCAACTGTCTGTTTGTTTGGCACCAAACATTGCTCTGAGACACTTTTTTTGCATACTAAACAATGGCAACAGGTTAACATCAGCCGCGCCTCCCCAATGTATGATACCATATCTTAAGTTGGTGGCAACGTATCCATGATAAGCAGTAAGTGCAGCTTTTTGTGAGACAGTTTGTGTTAATTTTCTTAGAGGATAAACAAATTTACTAATTTTACTTGCAAGAAATTCGGTATGCGGTTTCCAGCTTACACATTCATCAACCAATACACCAAGGAAACGTATTTGTTTTACTTGCTCAATCAAATGCCCTTCATACTTAACAAAAACAGTCTCTTGTTTCCGGTTTTGGGGAAGATGAAACTGCATATATTTTGTCTTATCTAGGTTTATGACGAGATCATTAGCTTTCATCCAATTAATAATATCAGACAAAGCTTTAGCAATAACACATTCGTATGGTTTATTGCTGTTGTTTTTTATCATAACAGTAGAATCATCTGCGAAAAGGATCATTTCATGCTGCACATGTCTAGGTAGGTCATTGATGTACAATAGAAAAAGAAGAGGCCCAAGTATACTTCCTTGGGGTACACCACACTTTACAAGCTGTGACTGAGATCGTACTTGCACTTCAGATCGATTTTCCTCATTAACATAAGAGATTTCTGTGCATTGAAATTGGTTATTTAAATATGACGATACAAGACCAAATATAGGTCCTCTGATACCATACATATATAACTTTTGCAGAAGCTTTTCATGATTTACGTAATCAAAAGCTTTTGACATATCCATAAAAATAGCAGTTACTGGAACGCGATCGTCAAGGCATTCCGATACAACTTTTATCATGTGATATATGGCTAGATTCGTAGATCTATCCTTTCTAAATCCGTATTGCTCGTCTGCTAGTAAATTAAATCGTTCGCAATAATTATATATGTTTGTATATATGATTTTCTCAAAAATTTTGGAAATGACAGAAACCAGAGCAATTGGGCGATAGTTCCTACAATCCTCTTTATCCCCTTTCTTGAAAATAGGTTTAATTACTGTTATTTTTAGCTTATCAGGGTAAATCCCTTTATTTATAGTTAAGTTGATAATGTGACTAAGCGGCCGAGCAAACTGAAAATTACAAAATTTCAATACTCTAGTGGTTATTTCATCGTGACCAACACTTGTTTTATTTTTTAAGCTATTAATTATTTTAACTATATGATCGGGCGTTGTTGGATTCATAAACAATGAATTTGATATACGTTCAATGTTACTTCTGTAATTTATTGGTTTGCAGTTCTGTACAGGATTCATAAATGTATCATTAAAAGCTTCTGCAATATCACCTGGTTTAGTAATTGTTTTCCCTTTATAAGTTACACTCTTCATAATTTCTTTTGGCTTTGTGAAATTATTTGAATTTATTATCTTCCACGTAGATCTTGTTATATTTTTAGACTTGTTGATGTAATTGTTGTTTTGAATGCGTTGTGATTTATTAATAACTTTTTTTAAAAGTGCTGTATAAGCATTATATTTAAGTTTATCATTTTTAGATTTTAATTGAAAGTACATTTTCCTTTTGCGTTTACACGATGTTTTGATACCACTTGTAATCCAAAATGGCTTCCGCTGAGCTGAAACTTTAATTAGGTTGAACGGGAAGCATAAGTCATAAAAGAGTTTAATCAATTCATAAAACAAATTGTACGCTTCGTTTACATCATTGCTTTGATAAATATCATAAAAGGATAAGCTTTCCAGGCATTCTCTAAATTTGGTTAGATTTTCAATACTATAGTCACGTCTTTTGATAAACCAGTATCGCAAGCAGGAGTAATTTATTGTGATAGGATATTGCAACACTTGAGCAGTGTGGTCGGATAATCCTAAATGTAAAATTTTGCTTTTACACCCACGGCAATTATGAATGATATTATCGATACACGTTCCACTTTGTAATCTAGTCGCATCCATGAATTCAATTTTAAAGTTATGACTCGACAAAAGATTAATAAATACATTAGTTGTCACGCAATTTTTTAAAACATCAATATTAAAATCACCACATATTATAGTTTTCTTAGTTCTATATTTGCTAACCCTATCCAACAAAGTTTCAAGTTTTTCGAAAAAGTTAGAGATATTACTATAATTAGGAGTTCTGTATAAACAAATAATTATAACATTAAAAGACACAAGTTCAATAGCACAACATTCAAATACGGTACTGAGAGAGTTTCTTGTAATTTCAGGTAATTCTCGGTAATTAAGTCCTCTTCGAGTCATAATACATGCACCTCCTCTTGAATTTTTTCTGCAGTATATGGCAGCTAGATTGTAGTAATTGCATACTAAATTGGTTTCATGTCCATTCTTGACAAAATGTTCAGTTAGACAAATAACGTCAATACAGTTTCCTTCACTTGAAAAATCCTCCAATATGATCTCAATATTATCCATTTTACCTAGCGCACCACATATATTTTGATGCATTACATACAGAAATTTACTTTTCTTGTTTTCGAAAAAAGTCATCATTAGATAATTTTACATCCGAAACGTTTTCACTAACACTTTGCTGAACTAATTTATCAGTTTGCGTCCCTTTGTTGGATTTATGGTAGTCTATAGACATATACGAACTCTCTATTTCTGATAGTAAACTCTTAAGGTCTGCAAACAAAGCTCTCATGCCTTTATTGTTCACGGCACCAAGTTTACCAGAGAACATGTGATAATCATAGGTGAGATTCAAATTTGAATCTAGTAAATATGCATACTCATGGGCTTTAATATTTTTGTACAGCAAATAGTTAAAGTTTTCGATTCTTCTATTAAAAATATTTGTATCTTTAGCACATCTAAAAGTTGGTATGCAAATTACTATATTAGTGTGAGTGATGCATTGTATGGTTTGCCTTAAGCTCTCCACTAGTCTGTTATAATCTTGTGACATCCTGAAGTCATAATCTCCAATTAGAACAACACAATAATCTTGTAAAGTGTAATTAATCAGTTTTTTGTCAAGGCCTTGAATTAAATCTAATATACCAGCATTTGTTTTTATATAATGACAGAATTCAAAATCTTTAGAGAAATAGTCTTGTGCAATGCCTTTTATATTATTTTTGTTGTTGCTGCTGATTATGCATAGCTTTCTAGTGTGCTTCAAGGGTATCGGTTCATCAGTTCTGCATTGCTTACTTTTTTCCCCATTAATTTTTTTATATTCATTTACGCATACCTTGTGTTGTTCTTTTTGATTTATTGTTGAATTATGGTTTTTACTTTCAATATTATTAGGGGTTTCCTTATTTTCAGCACTGTTAAATAGGTTTGATTCTACTTCGTTAATGCTTTGTGATCTATTTGTATTTGATACGTTCTTGATCTTAGATGATAATATACACACACATCTCTCAGGTTTCGACTTAAATTCGGCTATTTATCTATATCTATATAGTACAAAGCACATACAATAGGCGTACAATTAGGTAGGGCTTCCTTTCGACTTTAGGTTTGTCTGAATATGTACACCCCCCAAACCCTACTCATAAAAGAAATGTGTAAGCACTGAAAGCGAGACGAAGTTATTTAAAAGTTTGTTTAAATAACTTCGTCTCGCTGACCTTGCTTTTATGTCATAAAGAAGCTCTTCCTTATCCTAACCTAACCGTGACGATTATGAGAACCGAAATAAGTGCGTGTGTGCTGAGCGAGATCGGGAAAGATCAGATCCCACCCGAATACGAAATCGCCAAGGTCCCACGAAGCCTTTGGGGTTGCGGGCGTTCTGGGCTGGGTCTTACAATAAAATGAAGCGAGAAAGCGTTCCGTTCCGAATGGAGATCTCAGGTTCTCTCCTAACCCCCCCCCGAACGGGTTCCCGCCTTGTCGTGGCGGGGGGCTTAGAAGCCGTGGCTTGGTCACCCACGGCGAAACAAAGAGGAACCCATATGGCTGGTCCGTGGTGGAGGGCCGGCCCGAGGTGGCCACTCCGAGTGGGCTTGGGAAGCCCACTTCGGATGTGTGTTGGTGGGCTGCGGTGAGAGGTGTGTCCTCCCCACCTACCGCTGCAGCCGAGGTGGAGTCGCGGAGGAAGAGGAGTGTTGGTATGGCGATGCGCCACTCGCCCTATCCTCCGCGACTCAAACGGGGCCGCACCGTTGATGCGGTGGTGATGGGGCTGCGGGGGGAGAGGATTGTCGGTATTGCGAGGCGCCGCTCTCCCTATCCTCCGCAGCCGAATCTTGGTTGGCGGCGGAGCCATAGACCAGATCCGCCGCTGGGGTCGGGAAGGCTAGTACTTCTAAGTGCTCGTTTTTCCTGGCCCCATGGCCTTCGCGCATCGGACGCGGGGGCGTCTGTTGCACAGACGTAGTTGGAGGCCGTGGAGGAAGGCGTGCCATGTGTTCTGGTGCGCCTTACTTGGAAAGGAGAACGGGGAGGAATATTCCTCTCCCGATGAGGTGCTGCCATGGTGCGGCAGTCGCTGGTGGGGCCGCGGATGTGTGCGAAAGCGTTCCCGTAGCCCTGCCAATATGCGACGAAGGTGGAACACCATGGGGTTTTAGTCGGTGCGAGTCCGACATAACCCGTCCTTGCCCCCGCGAGGCGGGTATGCGTAGGCATTTCCCCATGTTAAAAAAAAAAAAAAAAGTTCTCTCCTAAACGCTGATGGTGAACATGGGGTTTGAGACGGTAGGAGTGTGGCATAACCTTTCCGTTGCCTCTGCAGCCGAAGATACCACGAGGATTTCCTCACGATAAAGAAGGATTTAGTATGAAAGCCATTGAGACAAACGCAATAAAGCCAGTGAAGTCCTAGAAATATTCCATTTGTTACACTTACCGTTACAACCTAACAAAAGTCCACAATGACATTTGGCATAGTTGCCACGCCTGGCAGGCAGGTTGGCAGCCACAATTTTTTTATTTCGTTGTAACACCGAATTTTAATGTAACGGAAGAAGCTGCCACCCATATCCCGGTTTGTTACGCTCTATCGCCTCTTACGACACTCATGTGACGTCGATATATGGGCTAGTAGTTTTTCTATCCCCGTTGCTGCAATTTAGTCAAGTGATGGGCAAAACACAAACCTGCGTCACGGTAACGGGCGTGGCTGCTATCGCCATGTTCCTTCTTATATCTTCTAGAGGTATATCTTCTGAACGGGCTCTAGGCGACCCATCACGCGAGCCGTGAGTGCTACTGCTTCTCGACACACTGCTGAAAGAGATAAACCTAATAATAATATCAGTAAGGTTTCATAATTTTAAAGAAATAAAAAAATATTAAAGCAACACATATGACAGTAGCTAATTTATTAAATTAAGCCAGCTAACTTTTAAAAAGTCAGTGACGGTTTTTGCGTATTAAGCACAGGTATTAGAAAACAAATTCCAGATGATATTCTTCAATGTAAGTTAACAAAACTAAGTTTTGTGGAATGCGGGACGTATTTAGCATTACGGTTTGTTCCTCACTATTTTCCTAACACGCGGACTTTTTGCGGGGCATCCCGTTATATCCGGGACGGTTGGTATCTTAATTATCCTAATCGATAGCTTGCTGTGATAAGTGAAGTGCTGACCCCGAAATCCAGCAAACTTTAAAGCTTTTTCAGTCGCGAGTTCGCGAGAGATCCCGCTGGCACGCATGCATGTACATGTCGAACCACATCCAAAGGTCGACCGTACTCGTGAATTGCATGAACTATACTTATGCTACTTAAATCAATAAGACGGCAGAAAATGTTTGTGACCCAAGATTGACCTAAAATATTTGCATTAAAGATAATGACGTCATAATTTCTCTTAGGCCGCCGTCTCAAAGATTATATTTTTATTATTGTAAAAATTCTTAACAGTGGTAGAGTCACGCGGCAGTTTTTACTGTCGCATGTATGGGCCGACTCGAGCTGGAGTTGTACCAAGACCTCACAGAATATCAGTGTGAAGTGGAAGCTTTGTGTCTCGGGCTGGATTTTGCGTATACGTCAGAGAGGACATCTGTTCTCGACGATTCGGCAGTCTTGAAGGTTCGGACCTGTACATCCTTTGGCTACGCGTAGACAGTGACGACAATCCGCACGTCTACGGATGCCTCTATAGCTCCTATAGCGGTAATGCCGAAACAAACCGATTCGTCCACCACGTCTAAATGGCTATAGATTCCTTGCTACAGCAGATCCCATCCGCAGAGATCGTGATTCTTGGTGATTTTAACACCCACCACGCCGAATGGCTCGGTTCACGTTTAACCGATCATGCGGGGGAGATCTGTCCATGACTTTGGCATATGGTCTTATGCAGCTGGTTACTTTGCCTACGCGGATTCCATGCACCTTTCCTGTTGGACCTTCTGCTGACCTGTCATCCGGACGGTTATCAGGTTTCCATCGACGAGGGACAACGACGAGGTTTACATCTAGGCTCGTCGGACCATTGTTTTGTCCAGAGTGTGGAGCTATTCACGCTGAAATCGCGGTTGCATTTTGCAGACTGCCGCCGTCTTAGGCACGTTATAGGTCGGCCGATTGGAAAAGGATGCGGTCTTTCTTTGCATCCTACCCTTGGGGGCGGGTTTGCTTCTCGCCGGACGACGCCAACGTTGTTGCTGATTCTGTCGCTGATGTGGTACTTCAGGGTATGGAACTTTTTATTCCTTCCTCTGTAGTGCCCATCCATCGGAGGTAGATCTCTTCCATGGTTTAGTCGTTCCTGTAAAATAGCATCATGCTATAAGCAGGAGTGCTACCGGGCGGTCAACGTATCAACGTACCGGTATGTAAACGTCAGCGCCCTTCAAAAGAAATATAATTCCGCCTCCAGGTCCTTCAAAAGAGTCATTGCCAAGGCAAAGTCAGAGCACATAGACAGAATAGGCGAGAAACTAGTTCACGCTCCTTCTGGAACCCGTGCATTCTGGTCTCTCACCAAGGCTGTCCAAGGGAATTTCTGTCAGCCATTTCATCCATCTCTGCACAGGGAGGACGACTCACTGGTCCATGCCGCAAAAGAGAAAGCCGATCTGCTAGGATCTTTCTTTGCGTCCGAATCGACTCTCGCTGACGGGGAGAGCGCACCGCCGACCATCCCGCGGTGTGAGTCATCTTGTTCACACAGCGCTCGGTTCGCAAAGCACTCCTCTCCCTGGACATCCGCAAGTTGAGTGGGCCTGACGGAATCTCCCTAATTGTGCTGATGATGTGTGCTCCAGAGTCGGCACCGGTTTTAGCTCACACTCCTACTCCCTAGGCGTAATCCCAAAATCATGGAAGACGGCTTTAGTCCACCCGATCCTTTAGTCCACTCGAACCTACTCTTAACTGCGCATGCGTGAAGACATATAACGCACATATTTTGTTTGAAATAGCTGTTCTAGTACGTAAGTCAAGAAAAATTATTTTAAAAAAAATCTCAAACATTCTGTCCTTTTTATATTTTAAATTCAAAATGCGTGATAATGCATTGTTTTGAGAGTTCATATAGTGCTGTTTAGGTGATATTGAGCGATCTGGATCTCGGTATCTATAAGACCTAAGAGCTTGCTATTTGGAGAAATTAAACTTGGGACTTAATCTTCAAACCTGTTGAAGCTAAACAAGATTCGATAAAAAAAAACAAAAAACCTCGTTTTGTACTTATTTTGAGATAGATCTCTAAAACCTTACGGCGCCTCTACACGTTGGCCAACACAGTGGCGAATGTAGTGGCCAATAGCATTGGCCAACGTGTAGACGGGGTGTTTAGGCTTCATTGGTATGTATTGGAACGATGGCCCGCAAGTTGGCGCGAGATCCGTGTGGTGTCGGTTTTTTACAAAAGATCAAAGGATTGTTGGCGGAGTTTGGTCACCGCGTCCACACGTTGGCCGCGCGTTTAGTTTGCTACAAGCTCCCAGAGTGATTACACGCATCTGATTTAAATTTTATATTCAAGCTTTGTAGGGTGGATGCCCCAATTACCAGCCTTTTTAGTGCCAATTTCAACTTTAAACATTTCTACCACTTTAATTAGCGCGATTTAATTATTATTGAACATTTGTTTTCATCAATAAGCTATTTATCAAAAAATAATTAACGTTTTTTTACAATCAGATTATTACGAGAACAATTTTAAAATGAAAAAAATGAAGCATGTCGTTTATACGTGGTAGAACCATGCACTTATATTAGAAGTATAGTTGCAGCACGAAGGTCGGCTCGACCGGGGAAGGACCACGCTCTCACAGAATATCGAAAATAGTAGCTTAATGATGCTGTGTTTCGTATAGTGAGTGTAGAGAACCAGAGACCCTTTTTAAAGGAAACGAGACATTTCATCTTAGCCCTCACGGGTGACAACGCATCTCAGGCTAAAAGCCTCAGCTTTACTGCTTTCAGCTTTACTTTACTTTCACTTATGTATTACATATTTTCACCGAAAAAGTAAAATGTAGGAGGCATTTTTTCGCATTATAATTTATTTAATTATAATAGTCATAATTCTCTATGTTTAATTTACGAACTTAATTAATAATAAAATAAAGTAAAGGATGTTTTTCTCAATGATTTCACACCACACATATAAATAAAACTAGTTTTTACGGATTTTATCGTGTATATTTTATATTCCCAACATAGTTTTATAACTTATTTTATATTCCCGACGTTTCGAGCACTTTACACATAAACTCTGTTTAGTTTAAAATATTTCTTTTTATTTCATATTAACATACCTCAAGTTCCCGCCCACATTGAAACAGAATAAGCATTACATACACCAGGATAAATATACACACAACACGACAGCAAACCAGCATTCAATCAAACAAACAAAATTACCTCTCGCGGCTCGTGGTACGTTCGCGGTACACCACGATGCCGTCCTTCAGCACGTGTCCACTGGGCCTGCGCAGACGTCGCTCAGTTTCATCGCTATCAGCACCTGATAAATAATAATAATGTCCTCCAGACCGAATTTCAGCCACGGCGACCTGCCTCAACGGAGCCTAGCCATCGGCGCAGGACAGGATTATAGTGCCCAAGTGTATGCGCAAGCACAGGTGCACTCTCTATTCCCTCACTCTCATAAACCGATGGGACGGTAAACCGACACGACCGGAGAGAGATCAGGCGCAGGACCAACGGCTTTAGGTGCTTTCCGAGGCACGGGGGTGTGACACCACCAACTTCCTGAATCCGGGACACTACTGAGAATTTCTTGACGGAAAAACTCAATAATTAATTTTTTGGCCCGACCCGGGATTCGAAACAAGGACCTCATGATCAGCAGTCGCACTACTACAACCACTAGACCAACGAGACAGTCACCTCATAAATACGTTAAGACTAAGAATATATTATTTCTTAAACCAGAAACTTATACGTTGGAATGGGTCGGTTCGACCGGAAAAGGACCACGCGCTCACAGAATACAAGCGAGAAACAGCAGCTTAATGCTGCTGTGTTTGGTATGGTGAGCGTAGAGAACCGGATGCCTTTTTACTAGAAATGAGACATTCCATCTTTGTCCATAAGGGTGACAACGCATCTGCATTTTTATTCTCAGGATAGATGTAGACGCCTATGAACCACAGCATCCACTTGCTATCAGGTGGACCGTGTACTTGTATGTGACCCTCATATTCACTGTTAAACAAAGTTGCACCAGTGGTAGATAAAATTTCATAATTTCTTAAAAAAATACTTTATAGTTATTAAACCGGTCATGTTTTTATGAATCTATCAAATATGAGTATAATGTTCAATAACTACAATACTCAAAGTAAGCTTTGTGAGTCGCATATGAGTTAAGTGAGATATTATCAAATACCTGAGGATCTTCGAACTGCCGAGAGTCCGGGTCGTGTAAACAAAGGACGGTGCCTCTGTGCCATTGATGGTGCGGAAATACCGGACACTTCTAACAGTCTTCCGATTTGCTGCATCTTCTTTTGTCGAGCCTTAGTCCGTCCCTGTAATATTTTTTTTACATATCACCATAAAGTAAAATATTTATTATAAATATATAAATACTGGCCGAACTTTACCGTCATTGAATTATTTCTTCTGTTTTATTGTTTTAACAATGGTTTGAAGTGGTTTTCGATACGTGAAAGTGATGCGATTTTGTGTATGGAAACAACAAAACAAATGCCGATTTAAAATATTGACATAAAATTCACGTTAATTTGTCTACTTAGACATCTTAAGAGCTTGACTGTCGTCATCGACTCTACTTGCTTAAACTAGCGTTGCAAGTTCTATAAAACTCCACAACGTGAAGCGTCAAAATATTGTGGAGAAGTATTTGAACTAAATATTATAGGATAATTTCTTAATATTGGCAAAAGTACAAAAGTATGAGTCCAATGTCAAGAAAAAAATTACATTTTTCACAACAACCGAGTACGATTTACACGCGTTAAGACAGTAATATACGTTGGGAAATAAATAAAAAACTGAGAACACACAAATTCAGGCGATATGCATGGCACTGGAGCACGTCGGAATCTTGCCTGCCTTATAAAAACTTCTTTTAGAAATCAATTAATTTGAGTGGAGCAACACAAGCCACTGATTTCTTAAAGATATAGTATGTTAAGATAGACAAACTTGACGACAAAGACATTAAGTTTACGCACAAAAACAGAGGCGGCCCCTTAATTTACCCATTATCCGATATCCGGTAAAACGTACAAATCACATACATGGAAAAACTCATCACAGATCAAGATACTTACACATTTTTGTTTAAAATTCGAGCCTAGGAACACAGTATTTAAGAAATTTGTCAACCAGAAGTAAATACAAAAAAAGTTAAAGAGTTCATAATGTTTTAGCATAGGTACCTTCGTCAGCCTCTGCTTCGCGGCCATACTACGTATATGGTCGTCGAACTTAAATTTGGCCCGTAAGAGAACGGTACGGGCCAAGGCGCCGCTCGATCCAACACGCGGCTTGTGAATTGTTAATTGTAAACAACGGGGGTCGTCTTTATCGCCTTGTATCTAAATACAATATATAACAAATCATAATTTAATATATATAATATATATATATTATTCTAATTTAATACATATAAATAATGACATACATATAGAGAGCATCCTGACACACCCTCGTCCTGTGGGTATCATAAAGGAAAAAAATACAGGAAATACTATAAAATCTAACAGATTCCCATTCGTGTAACCATCTCGTTTAGAACTGACGTAATATAATCAGACCAGCGACGGGCAACAGAGTCCAAAGGTGCGAAACGTCTGATACTGCGATCGTCGATCCGACTGCCAAATGTGATGGTTAAGGGTGACTAATCGATCGATTTTCGATCGATGCCGTTTACCGTAGCTTTAGCTGATCGTCGGCTACCAGTCGATAAAACGTTGTTCAATTATCGATCGACGTCGATCGACAATTAATCGACGTGGGCTCATCATCCGTATCTTTGAAAATGTGTTCAGAAGAGGACAATAGGTAGCGGTCGGTAGTGGCAGGATGGATTATCGAATAATCATTTTATAGTAAAAAAGTAAAGTTACAGCCTATGTACGTCCCACTGCTGGGCACAGGCCTCCCCTCATTTCTGAGAGGGTTTTAGGGCAAGGAATAGTCCACCGCGCTGCCCCAATACGTGTTGGCGAACTTCACATGTCTTCGAAATATTTTTTTTCTTATTGAAATACTACTAGTTTTTATTATACTACTATTACACTATATATTATGCTATAGTTTTTATTATACTAGTTTTTATTAAATTTTAATCTATGGTAACCGCGGTTAACTATGACATCTGGACGTTGAACATCTCAGTCCCACCCGTGAACATGAGTGCTGTAAAGCGTTCGAAACGTCGGGTATTTAAAAAGTTAAATATACACGATAAATTCCGTAAAAACTAGTAATATTTCAATGTGTAGTGTTCGCGTAAATATAAGAAATCATTTTTTCGTATTTCTCAGACATGCAGGTTTCCTCACGATGTTTTCCTTCACTTCATCCTTTAAAATTGCAATTAACAATTTCATTGGTGCCGGCGGGGATCGAACCCGGTTTTGCTCACGTATTGTGAAATTTACAGCGAGCGCTAACCATCTGAGCTACCACAGCTCTCTGACTACCACGGCTCATCAATCATTTTATACCAATGTAAAATAGCAGCGTAAGGCTGCTGTGTTTCATACGGTGAGTGTAGAAAACCGGAGATCCTTTTTAATGGAAACGAGGCATTCCATCTTAGTCCTCAGGAATGAATACAAATGCATTTTGATTCTTAATTGAAAATATATGTGGATGTCTATGGACCACAGTAACCATTTACCATCAGGTGGACCTGTGTACTCGTTTGTCACCCAATGCTGAAAAAAAAACAAGCAGCTCCATCGACGTCGACTAATCTTTTCCACCATCGATCGATGCCATCTATCGACGATTTATCGATTGGTGTGGTAACACTCTAAAAAAAAAGGTAAATCCTCGCTACAACCTACAACAGTTGATCTCTTTATGTTTATGTTACCCTCATTATTTAATAAAAAAAACGCAATAATTTGTATAAATCTGAATAGGATGCTAAGCTATTGTAAATATATCACTAGATAAAAATATAGCAATAACTTACTTCAAGATCCTGCAAGCTGCCGACCAGTTTAGCGACACCCCAACCCATTTTCTGCTTATCCGGTTCTACCAGAATAATTTGTATGTTATCTACTGCTAAAAATCTATGATGCCACGTGCCGTCCTTCTGTATAATATCGCAAGAAATGAGATCAGAATCATCTGTAAATCAAGAAAAAAATTGAGTTATAATAATAATAATTCATCGATATAGACAACATTGATCAATTACAAAATTTAAATTTAGAACATTACAACAAAACGACAAATAGTTTTGTCCTATTAAAGTCAACCTTGTTTAATCTATGAAAAATCACTAGCTTATCCAACTAATGCATATAAGTAATCTATCTATGCTGGATGATTTTATTTACTGTCTCGAAAAAAATAAAGGGTAACCGTTGAACGGAATAGAAGCCAGCACTGATATTTTACATTTTTTTTATTTTACATTAACATATTATGAGATTGATCTATCTACAAATACTACTAATTTGATATAATCTTTCGGTATTATAAAACTATCAACAAAATTTTTGAATTAAATAACGAGTCATTTAGTACAAAAATTTTGTTGTTAATTTCGACAGTTTTTAATTGATATTAAAAACTGTCGAAATTAAAATAATGTGTAACCAATTAGTAGTATTTATTGGTACATAAATTTCATACGTTAATGTAAAGAAAAATAAAAATTGTTATATTTATATCAGTGCCATAAGCTTCTATTCCGTTCACCTGTTATACCCTATTTTATACCAGACGATAAAAAAAATTTGCCATTATAAAACACAAAAAATGTTTCTACCTATGTCCGTCATAGACTTTGAAACCACTCAACCGATTTTGATGAAAGGGGAACGGCAGATTTAGTACCGCATACTTTTTTCGTTGTTTTGTTATAGAATTAATACCAGATATTAAGGCAACTAAGCCATTAATTTTCATGTAAGTTTTATATTTTTAGAACTTGGGATTAGTTAATAATATCAATAAAAAGATATTAATAAATAAACGTAATATAAGTATAAACTAAACGCAATGATATCGAATTCGCCGATAGAGGTGCTACCGCTAGTGTAGAGTGAGGTCTCCGATATGTCAAATGTCACTATTATTAGTAGGTGGGCTACGCGTGTTTATTTTTTTTTTAGAATAATATTGTGAATATATTGCAATTCCTGAGATTAATTATGGCCAATATAAGTTACGGGTCAATGAATTTCAGTGATTTAAAAGCGGAGCTAAGAAAAAGAGGTGCAAAATTAAGTGGGTTGAAAGAACAGTTAATTCAGAGGTTAGTTTGTTTACTATTTAAATATACATTTTTTGTCAAAATTATGCTTATTTACTGAGTTTACAGCTATGTTTTCTTTTTACAGTCTTAAGGACTATGATAGAAATAATAATTTTAATAGAAACATAGAAAATGAAATACTACAAAAGGATTTGGCGTATATTGTTGAGTGGCCTTCAGACAGTTTGTATAGCATTATAACATCGAAAAGTGTATCACCTAACTTGGATATAGTGAATATTACCACTTACTTTTTAGGTGTTTACAAAGACACTGTGGGAATGACTGAGTGTACTGCAGTTTACCAAAAAAGGCTATAATATGATGATAAATGAATATTTAGTGGCTCTAGTGATATGTACACAAAATAATTTACTTTTTTTTATAAAGATGTGGCACTGTACAATGGATGATTATGTTAGGAATATTGTAATAAACTATTGCTCTTCAGAGAAAACTTCCTTTGGTATAAGTGGTGTGTTTGAAGTGGCTTTCTTGCATGAAATATCTAATGACCATGATTACCTAAAACTACTTAAATATGGCTTCTGCGCTGAAAGTGGTGAGTTTTATTCTCACCAAGGACAAACATTTGTGTCATGAACACAGATGTTTGTTTTGTGTTTTGTGTTTGTATGTATTTACATTTTAATTTTAGAAAATTAGTCTTAAATTATCTCAGTATGACCCAAGTATCTCAAACTAGACAATGCTAATTTAGATGATTCTAATATGTATAAAGATTGAACTCTTTTACATTGTTTTGATCGATAATATATATAAATAATTTTGGATTTCTGTACAGTTTCCCCACAACGGTATACGGTTAACGCTTGCCATGCAAAGGGCATTACTCTTAAATGTTGCTAAACCCGGGACACTCATGAGGTGGGTTCTACTAACAACAAGGAGCCCTTTCCCTCTACAACTTATTCACACAACAGATATACCATATAGCTATTTGGAAAAGGTTTTCTGTAATGTGGAGGCAACCAATTATTGTGTCTCAAGAACCATTCTCCAGCTTCGGTTGCTCAAATTCAATCAGTAATCTCGCTGTATCCTACCCATTATCTTGTTTGTGTTTCTTTCACGCTTGAAAATGTCGGGCACAACTTATGTCTATCAATCTTGTGTTTAATTTGTATTTCATCAATACTAATTTTATATCTATGGCCATCTCATGAAATAAATTATTTACAGATGTCTTCCATGAATGAAGTTTGCTGGGACAAAGCTCGAGATTTGAACTTACATGTACCAGAAGTACCACAAGAAAGATCCCAGCATATTGTGTTGCCCAATATAAGAATTTTCGCTTTCATGCGATATAACACTAGAAGTATCCCGAGAGAGAATAGATGGTTTAGAGAGAATAAACCCAATCTTGCTTCATGCTAAAATTAAGTCCCGCCATTTTTCCACTAAAACTTTGTATTTATAGTGATTATATATAACTTTGTATTTATAGTGATATGTTTAGGCGGGACGCAATCAGAAGTTATTGCTGTAACTGCATTGTAGGTTTAAGAGCAGTGGGATGCTACTCACATGTTATGAGTATCATTTGGTACCTAAGGCATGCTCGCCATGAGGGTATTAACCGGCCTGTCTCCTTCTTAGATGAAGTTTTATTAAGAATTCATTAATTATAAGTCCAATAAAATAAATAAACTTAAGGTGAAACCTACGGACTGTTCCCAGCCATTCTCCCGCAAGATGGGGCTGAAGTCAAAATTTTTAATTTATTTGGAGTTTTGTGTAATTGGAAAATTATTAAGTCGTAGGAGTAGACTTATCGGTTATCTGATATTACATTTTATTGGAATGGGTCATATCATTGCCTCAAAATCAACCCAATTCGACATTAATTTTGATTATAACATCTGTCATTGAATATAGTGTCGTTTACACACACATAGACGTATCCCTACGTTTACGAAGCTAGAACACTAGATGGCGTGTATGTAAAAAAACAAGTTTTAATTTTTCTGTATGTGTAGATTGGGTAGGCAGAACTACAAAACGCTATGTACGATTGTTATAAAAATAAAATTTATATTTGTTGGCGTAAACTATTTAATTGATTTATAACTTTGGGAAATAAATTATGTCAACATTGATTACAATATAACGCAGTTTTATTTTATTACATTACACTATTGAATTTTTTATCAAAACAGAAGTACCTATTTGAAGCAACATAATTATACTGATACATGCCTATTCACTCAGAACTAATAACACTAATGATTTGTAACAGTACCAATTATTACAATAATTAGACATTTCATAACCAACAGGTAAGAAACCATAATTCACAAACAAGAGATAACAACAAATCTATAACACGATTTATTTTGTGATAATAACCAGGAAGTTTGAAAATAATATTTCCTAATTTCGAAGCACTCAACAAAAACTTTTAGTAAAACAAAAATATAAATCCTATACCTACGAGCAATTCTTGTATATATATACTCGGAAACGGCTCCAACGATTTTCATAAAATGTCGTTTTATCCCCGTTTTCAGGCAATGAAAAACTGCTACAATATAAGAAGGTAAATTTTAACACTATAATAATGGTCGTAATAGCTCAAGTGGATAACGCACTGTTGCGAAATCGTAGTTCCATGGCTCGCGTCTTGTCTTAGGATTGACTTTTTTCTCCTTTTTTTCAAGTTCCCTTCTTTTGTGAGAAAATCTATTATTTCGAGCCCTTTTTGTAGTATTTTTTTAAAAATACGAAAATTTTATTGCACTCATGATTTTTCATTTTAATAACCAGTTCAGTTTTTTTTTCTATTATGTCAGTAAGATCAACGCGGCGGTTCATTTTGGAGGAACGGTAATGAACTCAGTGTTATGTTGTGCACATCACTAATCGTGACTAACTAATAGGTGTCAGGAACGCATTCTCTGAACGGCCGAACTATAGTTCATAATATTATATATTAGTCTATGGTCTATGTAGATAATCTTAAAAATTGAAACGGGTTATAACTTTTATCTCCCAAGTTCTAAAAATCTAATAACTTAAAAGGGGTTTGTCTATCCTACTATCTACCAATTAAAACCAAATATATCCCAAATACGAAATTTTATTAGCGGTATGAAACTCCCATACAAGCCTGCCATTCCCCTTTTCGTGTGTTATTGAATGGGCCCCCAGATGTTTTATATTCACATTTGGACTTTTAGGTGACGCTGGCGCTTTTAGCTGTCGAGATCCAGAAATCACACGAGCGAAGCCGATACGGATCGCTATTCACTGATATAAACGTAATTGGATAGCGATCCTCAGCCGAAGAATACCAGCGTAAAACAGCAGCTTAACGCTGCTGTGTTTCGTATGGTGAGTGTAGAGAACCGGAGACCCTTTTTACTGAAAAAGAGGCATTCCATCTTAATCCTCGGGAGTGACAACGCATCTGCGTTTTGATTCGTAATCGAGGATAGATGTAGATGTCTATGGGCCGCAGTAACCACGTACCATCAGGGGGATCTTCTGTGTGTTCGTTTGTCATCCTAATCTTATTAAAAAAAATTGTAATAAATAATTATAAATTATATCTATTTTATATTTTATTTAGTAAATTTCGATTTTACCTTGTTTTTTTTTTAATTTTATACATTGATTATAAATAAATATTGAAGGAATTAGATATTTAATTATAATTATATAATTTTTATTATAATTATAATTATAATAATTTATACAGAAAAAAATTGCAGCTGAGAAAAATCATTTTACTATTTTCCAAACGATTATAGTAAAGACATTAGTTTAGTGGAGGTAAAGATATACGATAAGCGCTTAATACATGGTCTTAACTGTTTCATTCGCCCATTAAAACAACAGGGCATCTGCTGCTATGTTCCGGTTGGAAGAATTAAGCCTTACACGGACCAACGTTCCAATGTACGCGTAACTGAAGAATGTTGAATACGCGTAAAGGTAGATACGCGAACAGGGCACCTTTATGCATTGCGGGATTATGAAAGCCTTGTGACAAGTCGCAATTCGGCCAGCCACAAAGACTATGCCGCATTGTGCAACTAAAAGCCGACTGGCGACGACTCGACTGTGTACGCGTAAACGACTACGCGTAACGACTAACCAAAACCTAGTTCATATAGGTGACAACGACTATAATAATAATAATAATAATGTCCTCCAGACCGAATTTCGGCCAAGGCGGTCTGCCTCAATGGAGCCTAGCCATCGGCGCAGGACAGGATTATAGTGCCCAAGTGTATGCGCAAGCACAGATGCACTCTCTATTCCCTCACTCTCGTAAACCAACACGACCGGGAGAGAGATCAGGCGCAGGACCAACGGCTTTACGAGCTTTCCAAGGCACGGGGATGATACACCGCCAACTTCCTGACTCCGGGCAGATACTGAGAATTTCTTGACAGAAAAACTCAATAATTGATTTTTTGGCCCGACCCGGGATTCGAACCCAGGACCTCATGATCAGCAGTCGCACTACTACAACCACTAGACCAACGAGGCAGCATAAATTAGCGGATGTTTGCTATTTATATTTGTTTAGCAAAAACCATACTCACTTTCATGTGGTACCATATGAATGATTAGGTTTCCCATACAATATACCAGGTGAGAGACTCCTTTTCGAGTCTAGTCTGGATAGGCACCCTATTACCTATTTCTGCCGTTAAATAACAACGACTGCACTGTTGTGTTCCGGTCTAAGTCGGGAAGTTAGAAAGAGCCACAAAATACCACCGTAAAAAAGTAGCTTAATACCGCTGTCTTTCGTATGGTGTGTGATAGTGTAGAGATCTGGAGACCCTTTTTACCGGAAACGAGGCATTCCATATGAGTCTTCAGGGGTGCAACGATCCTGCGTTTTGATTCTTAATCGAGGATAAATGTAGATGTCTATGGGCCACCACATCCACTAACCACCAGGTGGACTGTGTGCTCGTTTGTCACCCTTATTCTAAAAAATAACAGTGGAACTACAGATGGTGAGACATTACAATATAGACCACAGAGGTAACAACGCATCTGTAGCCTTCTTGAAGTTGGCTGCAGTTATCCATAGATTAAAGAAGCCACTTACATGACTGTAAGTTTGATTGCCATTTCAGGTTAACAAAAAAAAATCAAGGACGTGACAACAGTTTTAAATAGATCTACCGCAGTTTTTCCTTATACTATTGTTACGAGCTTAGGGTTCGTGACAATAATTATTGCCGATAGAATTACCAAAATTAACATTTTAATTCATTAAAATTATGGAATAGCTGATGTTGATTTTTAAGACTTCATAAAAGGACGAGGTTCTATGTGCGGCTGTATGTTTTTTCTTTTATTTTATTTTTTATGTATGTTTACTGATTTCTCCATCGTGGACCGATTTTGAATACCTATTCATTTTTCTTCGATAATGTATGTCTCACATTTATTTGGCTTCGCCCCATATAAATGTCATAGAAATCATTTCAACCTTGACATATGTTGTGATTGAGTTTTATATTAAAATTAGTCCGTTAGAAAATGTTGTTCGTATTAATAATTCTAATTATTAATTTACTAATCTAAATTTTAACAATCAACCGAGGTAAACTGGCTTTTGCCCGCGTTAGTTAGCCGTAAAATATATTTTTAAATATTATCATTCTATTTATTTTTCAGTGACTCTGAGCTTGACAAGGAATTACCGGACAGTAATATGAAGGGACGATGTACTCCTTACATTCGTCGAAAGGATATTAAGAGGTCTAACAGCGCTACATCGATGGGAGAAGGCATAATAGTGGAAGGTTTCCAAAAAAGCGTTGAAAACTTGGCGTTAAATATCACACATGCTGATTGGCAACTGTGACTCTATCATAAATGGACTATTGATTACTATGCCATACGGTTCTAACCTCATGGTTAAAAAAGTAGAACGCAAAAATCATTTTTTCAGAAATTTTTGTTCCAAATTGAAGCAGTTGGGGAAGAAAACTAACAACCAATAAGGTTACTTATCAGTACCTACAAGAAAGAGTTGTGAGCAATGTTTTGCGTCGCTTTTACGTGGTAGAGCCATACTTCAGTTATATTAGTAGTATAGTTGTAGCACGAATGCGTCGGCTCGACCGGGGAAGGACCACGCTCTCACAGAATACCAGCGTAAAATAGTAGCATAATGCTGCTGTGTTTCGTATGGTGAGTGTAGAGAACCAGAGACCCTTTTTACTGGAAACGAGGCATTCTACCTAAGTCCTCACGGATGACGTAGATGTCTATGGGCCACAGCAACCACTTACCATCAGTTGGGCTGTGTGCTCGTTTGTCACCCTATTCTATATAAAAAAAGCAGTAGTTGGCGCCGTGAAACATTGGAAGAACGAAGAGATCACTGACGTGGAAAAAATTAAAAACATCAAAAATGACATAAAAATCAGTGCCAATCATATTTTTAAGAAAAGAAAGAAGAGTTTTAGGCTTCTTTGCAAAAAAACGAGGACGAAATAAAATTATTAGAATTGGCTACTAGAGGTCAAAGAGACAATGATTTGTGATACACTGAACGGAGAAAAAGGCTAACTGCATATAAATTTGGAAAAATCGCAAACTGCGCCCTTACTGTATACTCATTTCAAAGGAAATACGGCAACCGAATATGGAAACCAACACGAATCGGAGGCCATACGAGAATTTTCCACAACTGCCAATCTAAAAGTTTCGGTGTGTGGACGGTTTTTTGATTAAGATGATTATTATTTAGGGGTAAGCCCCGATGGACTTATCGGAGATGACTCTCTAATTGAAGTCAAATGTCCTATTTCTGCCTGCACTCCACAGGTCATTTCTAATATGCCACCTGTGGAGGCCATAACTGAAAAAAGATCAAATTTTGTTTGATACGAGAAGGACAGATGATTTTAAAAAGAAGTCATGATTACTATTATCAGGTCCAGGGAAAATTACATATCACTGGTAGGCAATTTTATTTTTTTCGTAGTATGGACGCTACATGTTTTAGCGTATGAAAATATTAAGTACGATGACCACTTTTGGACAGAAAAAATGCAGCCAAAACGTAACTAATTTTATTTTCAGTGTTTATTACCAAAGCCGATTGACCCTCAAGTAACTAGAAATATGGCAGCGCGAGAAAGAGTGTAATAAAGTTATATGTTACTTTTTCTACCACAATTTATTACTTTTTTATTTATTCACCTACCTAATTAAGTTACAGTCCTTATTCAATAAAGACTCTAAAATAAAAAGACTAAATAGGTAATGAAGTTATTCACAGATATTATTTTTTCATAAGAAGTATTATTTGTGTAACTTTTCGTTATTACTTTCTTCTCCCTAGGCTATAATAACATCTTTTTAATTATTATTTTTTTAAGTTACCCCCACACTAGGACTTTATCCTGTATCATGGAGGCAGTTTTTACATATACAAATTACATAAGTACAAACATCCAGACCCGGAACAATTACTTGTAAGCCATACAAATACTTGTGCCGTGCGGGATTCGAACCCGCGGCCTTCAGCGCTATAGCTCATTGCTGAGCTACTGCGCCACGTAGCCGTCAAATATATACATATATGTATATAGAAAAAATCTCCGACATCTAATAACAACAAACCACAACTACAGCAGTATGCGTGTGCCCCTGCCTCCCGACCCGTATCGTGTGATAGAGAGAGTTGCAAGTCTTGGAAGATATTGCCTACATTTCTATATCTATATAGGCTAGGCTAGGCTATAACATTTTTACCCCCCTAAACCTTTACGAAATGAGATAATTTTGGTCTCATTTGATTCAGTATACCTTAGTCTAGGTCTGTACGTTTTTCTTTTTTAGTAAATCAGTTTAGTTTAATTAAGAATAATAAAAACGCTCGAGGAAGTTTTTAAGTCAAAAATATAGATATTTAGATGCTAATAACTTATATCGTACGTAATATTTCTTTAAAATTAAAACGTACGGACCTAGTTTTTTGTTATATCTACAACATTTCCAAAAATTATGAAAATTAGACTATGTTTACTGGTGGGAAAACGTTATCGCTTTTTGTATGAAAATTTACAGCTTCACAATCCTCTTAATACTCGGGTCAGATGAGTGTTAGCTCCTCCGTCACATAACTATGATACTTACTGAGGTCCAAAACTTCTCCAACTTGAACGAACGGCGAAGGATTGGCTAGTGGCAACTGTGTTTCCGGTTTGCCGGTGAGTTTCAAGTACAAATCTCGAATAAGGAAGAATGTTCTAATTGCCCGTCGAGCTCTTTCCATCTGCAAAAGTTAATGAATGCCTAATAAATGAAAGACTAAATTATTGCTGCATGCCTATATATTATATAATGGAATGTTTAACCAATTAAACGGTTATGTAAAAATTTTCAAATAAACAAACAGAGTATTCAATAATTTTATTGTAATAATATACCTAGTACATTGTGTACGGGTAACTGAAATGTTCATTAGTCTAACTCTCAAGTTTGAGTACTCTATGTTGATATGAGATTTTAATAACTCTATGATTCTTTTTCAAATTAATAAGTGATAAAAGAATGTATATATTTATGTTATGTAAATAAACATTCATGTCACTAAGAAAAATCATTAAAGAGTTTGTGATTTGTGAAAAACAAGTCGTAAAATTAAAACATTTGTACAACCGACTTCAATACAAATAGAATGAGAACATCATCAATGTAGTCGAGGTCAATTAAATACGCATTATTAAGAATAACTCAAAAACTTATAGTCAGATCTTGATCAAATTTATATAGGACCACATAAAAAGCACCAGCTTTAAAATAAAATAATGATCAAAATAGATTCACCTATAAAAAAAAGTTCTCAGCTAAAACACAAAAAATACAGTCGAATTGAGAAAATCTTCCTTTTTTGAAATCGGTTTAAAAAAAATCATAAAAAGTTTAAACGACCATTAGCCGACAGCTAAATCCTAGACATTTTTCACATTCCCGTTACAATTGCTGAGTGAAGACAGGAGAAAAATTAAAATAGTTCATCACTCCCATTTGTCTTGTAAGTAGAGTGACGGAGATGTTAAGAAAATTCGTTATGAAGATTGCGGATAATTTGTCTGTAAGACAGTCAAAAAATATCTTGGCCAGTCATGGGAAGAAATATTTAAGTTTAGATACAGGATTCTTTTGTGAGGTTAAGCTTTAAGCATAAAGATGTCAGAAAAAGTATCGATTTATAAGTAAGTACATATACTTTAATCGCATATATAATATCGGAAGTACTTATTATTTCATATGTCGGTTAGTTTTTATACGACTATTCTAGTGCGACCAGTGGCATTCTAACTAACTAACTATCAACTGATAATATATCAATGACATCGATGTTACTGTTAATGCGTGCAATGTTATATACGCGTCCAACCCTATGTAGTAAATCATCAAAACATATATTAAGTTATATAAATGAAAACAACATATTATAGATGAATTGATACCTATTCGTTGATATTATTTTTAAAATACAAAAAATGTTTACTCGATTGCTGTTTAAAACATTCAAAAATGAACAAATCAGAAGAAAGTTAATTTCGTCTTTTGGTACTACCTAATGTAAAAAATAACAATAATAAAATATACATTACTGTACTGACCTCTCCGCTGGGCAACCGTTTCGTAAACGCTATGCCCGACATAGGCGTTCGTGTAGGCGGCAATAATATCGCAGCGTCCATACAAAGCCATTCAACATTCAAAGGGCGCTTGCTCATTTCGCAGTACCTGTAAAAAGTGACAGTCGGGATTAAACTAGGCACGTGCGAATACTCGGTTCTATTTTATTCATAAACATTATAATTCAATAATAAATACAATCGCACCTCAATTAGCTGTTATTTTTAATATTAGTATCGAATCTGGCATGTTTCCTGATTTAATAAAGCATAATAAAGTAATATATTTATTTAAATCTAATAGTACATTGGACCGCCAATTTTAGTTTCTGTACTGTCAAAACTTAAAGTAAAATTTTTGAAAAATTATTCTTTTACTTCATAAAAATCGTAAGGGGTCGCTCAACACTGATGCTGGTGTTGAGCTGATTAAATATATCTTCAATGCATGGGAGAACTCACAGGATGCTTTGGGTATATTCTGTGACCCATCCAAAGCCTTCGATGGCGTTCAGCATGAAACATTATTCAGGAAACATTAACGCTACAGTGTAAGAAGTGAGCTCTTAAATTAATTATTTCATATTTAAGTAACATAACGCAAAAAGTTGTCATTAATAGTACGAGTTCTACCGGGTTGATAGTACAAATGGGCGTGCCTCGGGGCTCAATTTTCGGCCCCTTTCTGTTTCTTGTATATATTAATGACTTAACTTACATAAAAGAGATAACCACGACATAGTATTATTTGCTGATGATACTTTATTAATTTTCAAATTAAAACAATATTAACTAAAATATGACGAAGTAAAATATCTAAATTAGTGAATTGGTTTAACGTTAATAATTTGTATTCAAATGGCACTAAAACTAGACAATTTTTCTTGGAATCACACTAGACGCGAAGCTTCAATGGACCTCATATATCAAAACTAACGAGCACTCTTAATTCTGCAGCATACGCTGTAAAAAATATTAGAAATCTTACCAGTGTTGAAACAGCTAAACTAGTTTAATTTAGCTATTTCCATAGCATAATGTCGTATGGTACTTTGTTACGGGGGCACGCGACTGCCTCTTAAATTATATTTGTTTTACAGAAGTGGGCGCTCAGACAAAATTTAAAGGAAATTAATACATTAACTTTGGCCTCTCAATACATCTATGAAAATGTAATGTACGTACACAAAAATAAAAGTAGTTTTACAAAAATAAGTGATATTCATTCCGTAACTACTAGGAACCGACACAAGTAATTCATTCTTGGGGGCGATATATACGCTTTTACAACATAATCCCAGAAAATATACAAAATTTAACCTGCTCAAAATTTAAAAACTGTATTAATGTCCCCCAGACCGAATTCCGGCCACGGCGGCCAGCCTCAACGGAGACTATCCATCGGCGCAGGACAGGATTATAATGCCCAAGTGTATGCGCAAGCACATATACACTTTCTATTCCCTCATTCTCAGTCCGATGGGACGGTAAACCGACACGACCGGAGAGAGATCTGGCCCAGGATCACCGGCTTTACGTGCTTTCCGACGCACACGCGAGAGACACTGCCAACTTACAGACTTCGGGCAGATACTGAGAATTTATTGACGAAATTGACGAAAAACTCAATAAACTGATTTTTTATTGACCCGACTAGACCGACGAGGCAGTCGTAAAAAACTGTATTAAACTAAGTTTGTATAAAAAGGATTCTTGTAGTATTAAGGAATGTATGGGTGATAATAACCCCTGGTAATGAGGTGATCACTACCAAGCTATTTCTAATTTACTTTGTGTTGTTAATTGTGCAACTTGGTGTCTTGCTAGTTCTTCCCAGGACAGAGATTATTTTTCCGAATCAGTGGTGAATTAAACAAAAGAGTGATTTTAATAAATAATATTTATAATCTATATTGAATAAAAAAGTTTCTGTTTCTGTTTTTGTTTCATGTAACCAATCACTTTAAGTGGTAAAAAAACACAAATAAACAGGCACTAGGTCCAATTTTGAGAGTGGAGAGTTCGAAGATCCGCAAAGCTTCAGGAGTGTTACTTGTCATCACCGGTCTATATCTTTCGAATTTAGCATATACGAGATTTTATTGAAGACTGCAAGTCTTAGCGATCCAGTTGATGGCTTCCTACTATTCGAAATTAGTGAACGTGATTTAAAATCGGCAAAAGGACATAAACATGATCATCATTCATACGATATTATTCCACTATCAACGAGAGATTGTCTTAAAGGGATCATACAATACAATGTGTTGAATAGTTCTGCTACGTCAACCACACGCCAAGGTCAAATCCACGAAAGTCGCCTATATAAAAATTATTATATAACATATTCGTTATTTCTTTCTTGCATGATTATCATCAAAATGTAATGTACGTTTTTGCCGAAGGCCGTCGCCGTCACAGCCACAAGGTTTCGAAGCATCCAATATTCAACGCCTCCTTCGCTTGTCAGTACGAAGACTTTCCTTTCAAGGGTTACAAAAAAAATTATATATAAATAAATTGAACTAACTCGTCTTCAAACATATCGAGGAAAATGTCGTCGCATTTGTAGAAGTTCCTCGCGAGCGCGGCGGCCCGAGCACGTAACGCGTCCACGGCGGCGACGTGTCGTGCGCCCGCCACCCCGCTCGCGCCCTGCATGGCCACGCGCACCAACCGCACGCTCAGTTCGCACGTCACCAGCCGCACTTTGCTTGCTACAACAAAAAAGTTTGACAGTGGCAACGTAAGATACACGTCATCTCACACGCGCCCTGCATGGCCACACACTATCCGCATTTTGATTTCAAAGAGACAATTTATATGTTAATAGTTGAGACGTGTTCACACGCAACAGTCATACGCTTAACTCGCAAGCCATCAGGCGCATATGATAGCACGTGGTATGTGTCTGTTACTCCACTTACGCCATGTATGTCCGCAGGCAAGTTATAAGCATATAATAGCCGTTTTTTAAGATTATAGGGAAAAAACTATAAAAATGAGGTTAGCAATGTAAATCATAGACGCGCGATTACAAATTATTTTACCTAATTTCTATGAATAAAAAATCAATTGCTGTTCGTTAGTTTCGCTAAAACTAGTGTATTTGAGTGGTTCCGTGCACAGTTTAGATTAACAGTTGTACCCGGTAGGTGACGCTGTTTTCGATATCCAGAAATCACCTGCGGAAGGCCGGGGCGGATCGCTAGTTAGCAATAAAATCGATCTTGATCTGTAAATCGCTGGCACCTTCATGTATTGACTTAACATTTGCAACGAAACCTGAGAAACCAGTTAGGGTACATAACATATAATACTATAATACATACATAATAGAACGGGGGAGTGGGCGGAGCCCGCGTAACTACTAACACGTCAATTCACAGGTATAAATGTCAACACGAGATGTGTTTTGACGTTACAATTTTTTCCAAATTTCGCATGCAAATTATTTACAAAATGCCAAATTGCACCCTACTTACAAATAAATATGTATTAAAATTTAAACGATTTTTTTAATAATTATCTTGAACATTAATCAAAAGTCTAAAATGTGTAAATTTACTTAGTTAGTCAACACAGCGAATCGGGTTTGGCGACGCCAATCCTCGTACAAAATAAAGTTGACAGCCATTCTAATGTGTATTATAGCATTCTATGGTACATACCTTGGTAACCGAGTTTTTCAAATTTTGATTTATTTTTACTGTAGCTACCATAAAAATAAAAGCAATGCTTATAACACTCAGACGGGTTGTTGAAGTGAAATATGTGTCGTGATTTCCACAACGTACAGCCAATCATTCTGCTGAACGTTGCATGGAGCACGATAATGTTGCCAATAGTGTGTATAATTATTATTTTATTATTATTATATTAATTATTAATTATTAGTAGCAATGGGATGGAAATTTTATTTCAAATAAAATCCACATTCTTTCCTTTAAGGCCAGTTATTCTAAGCAATAAATTACTTAAAACCAAACCGAATTTTAACATATAAAATATTGTAAAATATTGCATTCCATCATTTGCGTGTATTTAGCAAATTTTTAATCGAACTCATATGATGACTGAGCTTGAAGATTATTAGGAATAAAACACAACAGAAGTTTTAACATCAAATAAAATGTATCTTACTGGGCTTGCAGCTAAGATTAGCGATGGCCATCAATTTATTTATAAGAAGTGCGTTGAAACTTTGCATAGGCCGTTTTGTTGTACGCGCTGGAGTTCCTTGTTGACTATTTCCATCACCGCATACTTCGTCTTGATTACTTGTGTTTGCACTGTCAGTGTTTGTTACTTTACTAGTAGTATCATCTACTTCAGGACACAGTAACGTGTCTAAAAGTTCCGTGTTAACTCCTATAAGGTACAAAATACATCACATTCGACACAATACAATATATTCTTCAACATGATTAAAAACTTCAATCGAAAGTAGAAATTCTTACCCACTAAAATACCAAATGTAAGCAAAGAAATAGAAAAAGGGAAACTATTAGTTCAAACCTTCATTCCTCAATACAAAATTGAAATATAATATTATGTGGAATAAATTAGGGCTAAACATTTTTATTTTTAAACAAATTAGAATAAAAATAATCCTACCTTTATTATTTATCAATGCAAATAGCAAGCATAGGGCAAAAAGAGCCCTATAATCATTTTCACTGCAATCCAATGAATCTAGAACAGTCTTTAAAAATGGTCTCTTAACAATTTCTCTATTTTCTTTTTCTAATATACTCTCTATAGTCATGGTCTTTTCTGCTGATGTACTTGGCATGGTACCAAGTAACTTTTGCTTCTCCTCATCGGTAATATTGTTTAGTTCTGATAATGTTTTTGAAGAACTGGAATCAATGCCTGAATCTGGTAAAGGGGAATCAGGCATATTTTGAGCTACAGCTGTAACTGCAGTAGGTTTAACTGAATGTATTTGCGTCACTAGATCTTCCGTCGAATCATGAGCTATACTCGATGTCTCGCTAATATGAGAAGTGGACGGTAGGGAAGTTGAAACAAGTTCCGGGTCAAGATCACAGCTAGATAGATCTGTATCTTTATCTAAATCGTAGGCAAAATCTTTCGACCCACTATATTCAGGAGTAGTGTAGTCTCTTTCTTGACCAGATGTCTCTAAAGCCTTTTCTAGACTTAGCTGAGGTTTAGAGAACTCTAACTTAATATTTGTTTTTGCTTTACTTAGATACATTTCTAGTATTCTCGTAGCACCATCCTCAAACACTGATAAATCCGACTGTATTATAATCCAAGCCAATGCATGGACAATTGGGCCATGTGTAATTATTAGAAATACTTGAGATAGCAAAAAAAGGGCCACCACACATGATACTGATGGTTTCGTTTCCTCTTCTGACTCCATTCTTTGTATGGGATAGGTCAATCTTGGAGGGGTATCTGAGCATTTGCCTTTTATAATGGCCTCTAGATTCCTTGTTATCACTTCAATGCTTTGAATATTGTCTCTGTTATATGGAGAGGATGTAACAGGTCGTCTGGCAGATTCAGAAGTCAATGAATAAATATATAAAGGTATTAGTAGTTTATGCAACAGGTGCTCTGTTAAAACATCATTGAGGTCAGGTATATTTAAACACAAAATATCGTTGATGTAATGCAGGTGATCCAGATGCTCGGCCACTAAGTCATCTAATTTTTGTTGAGATTGATGGCTACAATATAATAAAATGCATATTAATTATAGCCCACATTCAAAAATACTCAACATTTTTATTTTTAAAAAATGCTTACTCAGCGTCGTTTCGAACACACGCATCAAGTTCCAGAATATGTTTTCCAATAAACCAGACTAGATTACTGAAGTATGGAGCTGCAGTTCTGTTAAATTAAACATATCATAATGATTTCTTATATTTACGCGAACACTATACATTGATTAAAACTACTTTTACTTTAATATAAATAAAACGCGATAAAATCCGTAAAAGTAGTTTTAATAAACATATCATTACAAATGCCATTGTACGAATAAAACTCTAGTTTTAATACTTTGAAGTAATAATTTTACACTTTACACAATATACTTTTACTTAATAATTAATAATAATTTGTATCTATTCTCTAATTTACGTAGTTATTAAGATATCAATGAGGTTAAGGTCTAATATCATTAGGTTGATGACTTAGGCTTTTTGTTAAAAACCAAAATATTTAATTTAATCCATATGTTTTAAAATTAAATAATTGTCAGATTAAAAATCTAGTGCAATTAACACATAATATAACATGCAAATATGCGCTTAGACGTAAATTTAATAAAAATAGTAATGAACACATATTATTTTTAATTAATAGAAACTTACCTATCTCTTATAAAGCGAAGCATACTGGCATCTTGAACCCTGTACACATTCAGGGTTAAAGTACGCACTGCAATTCGAACCATTGACTCTGGATGATTGAAAAACTTTATTGCCTCTGTGTATAACGGGAAATCTTTTGTGTGCTAAAGAAAAACAATTAGAGCCTCAGAAGATCAGAAGACATAGGCGATATGTTTACTGGTTGATTAAAATGTAAATACGAGAAAAATTTATTATGGAATGTACTACGTCCTATAATTCCTCTTATAAAAATGCACACAACATAATAAATTGCTTGTGTTGTATTCTTTTTAATCTATATCAAATAAATAAAATTGAAGTGTCTGTTTGTAAGGACAAAATAACAACTTTTTACTAAATGCATATAAAAGTATGTATGGCAGTTATAACAAAAACATTTTTTTTTAATTTTTGTCTAACTGTTTGTTTCAGCTAATCTCCGAAATAGCCAGACCAATTTTGACAATTATCACAAAAAAATTAAAACCATTAATATTCAATTGTAATGGTTGCACAGGAACGAAGTTGCAGGGAAAAGCTAGTGTTGAATATTTCTCACCTCATTGTAAAAAAAATGTATGGTATGGTTATTTAATTTCAGGCTTAGAGTTTTCAAGAATGATATATAATATGCCATAACTTCTTCATCCGAAACATCAAACTTGTGTACAATTATTGAGTTCACATGGTTATTACTCAGTAAATAATCTGTAAATATTAAAATAAAATACTTAAATTATATTAATCTGTAAAATAAATTTTCGTATATGCTTGGCATGCAATGCAATGCATTGCCTTTTTTTCAGAAGGTTAAAAACTTATTTGGACTATTCTTATTTTAGATTTGTACCCTTCATATCCTCCTTGTAAGAACAGTGAAGCCTGGAATATCTAGCAATTCAGACCTATAGAACATCTTAATACTCTCTTGAAATGTATCATTATCATCATTTATTATGAAGCGATAGTAGCCTAATGGCAGGGCGCGGACCGCGAACTCATAAAGGTCGAGGGTTCGAATCCCCCATTCGACTACTGGCATGAACCACTCATAACACAAGCAATTTAAGCTTACCGCGAGTGGTTAAGGGGAATATTAGTAATGTTTATAGCATTGTTAATATTCTTTTTAAAAAATAAAGTAAATCATTGAACTTAATATAAATTAACTATACAACTACATATTAAAATAGAAATAGTCGTCTGAAATCAGAAGAAAACATTTTCTGACACAGTGGTTTAGCATTGAGTTCCAGTGCTCAGGGTCGTGGGTTCGAATCCCGCATGGAACAAGTATTTGTATGGCCTACAAATAATGGTTCTTGGTCAGAATGTTTGTCCTAGTGCAATTTATGTATGTACACTGCCTTCATGATACAGGAGAAAATCCTAGCGTGGGGGTTATGTTACTTATTTAATCTACTTGGATGAATCGACTTAAATAATTTTTTTTAAATTTTTGTTTACTCATTTATTAATACTTACATAGAGAGGTCTCATTCCTAATATTCTCAAACAAAATATTTAATGTCTGCAATAGTTGTACACACACATATGACGAACCTCCACACTTTTGTCTCATTATCTTCAGGAAATAGGAAAGCATGTTCTTTTCCAAAAAGAAACTGGAAAAAATGGACATTTTTTTAATGTTTACCATTTATGATTTTTAAGTTTTCATCCTGGAAGTAACAAATTAAAGATTAACATAAATTTTATTCATCATTAAAAAACAGTCTATCAGTGTAACAACAGCACAACTACAACCAGTTGTAATTATTCCAATAGTTTCAAAAAAAATTTTTTTTTCCTTTTATTTATACAAATTAATTCAGAAGCACAGGGCTCAGCTTTAGAAACATCAGTGCCATATAATGGGTTCATATTTTTATGGTTGAATGTTAAGGCTCAGGGCTCAAATGCAGAAGGCGGTGCTCTTGGAAACTACCCTCATTGTTTATATTTCCCATCTGGTTGTGTTGTATGTATGAATAACTAGATGGAAAAATTAAATAATAATAAAAAATAATTTATTCTATTAAATCTTATGCCGGCTGTACACGCTCGTCTCGTCGCCTCGGGTGCCTCTTGTCGTGTTGAGGCTCGACACAAGAACACACCACACACACACACTCGTTGTATAATTTAAACTCCATATGCCCACTGAAATTCTATTAGTTATTATAACTTTATATACCATAAAATTAAAATTAATAAGCCACAGAGATGAAGAAGATTGTGGATGGTTTCTATTTACGGTAACTGAACCATGTACGGCAAATACAATATAGTACACTCTCGTTTTCATTGCGAGACTCACAAGTAGTGTTGCCAGGCGTCCGGATAAAGCCGGACACAGTCAGGCTTTTTGATTGAGTGTTTGGCCTAATTAGGCAGTGTCCGGCCTGTCCAGCTTTTGTTAGGCTTTTTATATTTGACCATTTTTTTATGTTTTTCATGTACTTAGGATACATACTATTGCAATTATTGAAATTAATATTGTAATGGATATTGAATGATTAATAATAAAGAACACTGATTCGTTCAATTTTATTATCATTTCATTAGAATTTAAAATTTTATGGTAAATGATAAAAGCATTGTTTTACTTTAAAATATATTCTCGTGTTATACTAAGACCGAATAATTAAGGGTATCCGGCCTTTTTTCCAAAATGTCTGGCTAAGTTGGATGGTCTATCCGGATTTTCGGTTTAAAGACCTGGCAACCCTACTCACGACACGCTTCTGAGAGTGCACGAGGGCCACGAGACGCGATGCGACGCGACAAGAGCATCATGTACACACTCATACTTGGCCTGTCTCCTGGTGTCTTGATGAGTATGTACAGCCGCCATTAGTAATGTTATTATATATTTGTAAATAATTTTATAAGTATTTATGTATCCAAACTAGATCTTAATTTATTATAAATAGTTTAATTACTATAAGATAGATAGGCTCAATTATCCCTACAAACTACAATTAAAGTTGTCTTAGAGATACATGATAAAAGAAGCATGCATGAATAGTGTTCAATGAGGGTTCTTAAGCAAACTCAATTATTATCAAATAAAATTTTAGATCTATAGATACTGTATAGGTTATATTTTATTATGTGTTATATATTTGTTTGAAGAGTTGGTGTACTAATTGCATTATTTTAAGTGCAACATTAGTTAACATTAGTTTGCATATTCAACAACAACAACAACAAACTTACTCAAATACAGAGCTGTCATTCTGATCACCCCATATCAGTATCTCTGCTATACACCTTAATGACTCCACCAAAGTACCACGATTACTCTCGGACACTGTAGTGTTTTTAGATAATATGTTATGAAGATATTTTAACCTTTCTAAAGAATGGGGATTTCTGGGTCTGCCCCAAGAGGCACCAAACCAACTTCGACTCCGAAACATGTTAATTCACAGTAATCTTAGTCTTAGTCATAAATTAAAAAATACTGGTCATTCGACTCTTTTTGTTATTGTATTTGTACGTCACTACAGTAATTAGCTCCAATATTCACATTTTTCACACACACATTTCACATTGAAGAAATTAAAGATAATTTGATAATGTTCGTTCTTTTTATCTTTATGTGTTTTTGTTTATTTCTAATATTTTCATTTTTCATATTATTTTTACATTTCTTGATCCTGCACTGCACACAATGAATTTTGACATTTTTATGTTTGCGATTTGCGTTCATAAATTAGACTAATATTTTAAAAGAAGCAATAACTGCACCTCTATGGTGAACTATTCTTTTTTGGCAATGTTAGGTATTTATTCCGTTTTTTTTTTTCATTTTCTAATACAAATAAAATATGAAAAGTTTATAAAGTAATATTAAAAATAATATTTCCTTTATATGGTCTTATATTTTTTTATGAAATACCATGAGTTCTGTAACACAAGAGCAAGACACTATAAGGCAAGTTCGTCTGTTTTTTATTTGATCTGTTTTTTTATAGTTTAAAACTTGGACACTGGACAGACAAAGTATTATTACATACAAACATAAAGGTTAGAGAACAGGAGAACGATCGCTGTAGAAAATAGTGTCCCAGAAATGTGGAAACCATTAATGAGGCGCTGCGATCGCTAAGTTCGCTCAATTAAAGTCATTTTCAGTCTATTTTTCCGATCAGATGCTAAACCACTTGCACATCCAAGCACAATAAAATATTTCTCCTTTTTTAAGGTTTCTTTTTGTCTAAAATTAAAAAATTACGGAGCATGAAAATTTTCTCACCAATGCCGTGAAGAAAATTTGTACATTATTCAACTAACTTCATCTACTTGTACTCATAAACAGCTAACTTCGCAGCCACTACTCACTGAAGGCAGCGCCGCTATAAATTCTACTCAAGGACAGGCAGGCTATGCTTTAGTACGTAGCGTACGTTCTCCTGTTGTCTAACCTCCATGCATACATACGTAACTGAGTAGACAAAGAATGCTATACACAAATTTTGCTATAGACAAATTGATATCTTTTATCGCAGTCACATAAGAGAAAGAGCAACTTACGGCAATATCATGTAACGAAATGAAATAGAAGCCGATAAGATTTTTTGTTTCACTGAGCGTGCCACGTTTTTCAAGGTTAGCACACTACTTTGCTAAACAAAGCTTGAGAGCTAACATGTAGCAAGATACCGCCTTTACGTGCATCATGTTAAGTAATTCGTAATATATTTTGTTGTGAACAATTTAGACCTAGTATTCCAACCTTTTAAAAAAATATGGGTCGGTATAGTGTTTTAAGGTGTAAAAGTGATAGTGGAATGGAAATGCCAGGGTTATTTTTTCATTCGTAAGTATACCACTCTTTATCGGTTACTAGGCATTCTGTAACATTTTATAAAATTCATATATTGTGTATAATTAACGTGACCATACGTCCTACTTTAGGCGGGACGGTCCCAATTTAAAGGGTTGTGTCTCGCTATCCCCAAAATAGGTAAAAATGTCCTACTTTGACAATCAAAAGCGTAGCATTATGCAAACTCTGTCACCCATGCCATTATTATGACACCGCGCGTACCAGGTTTGCCGGCATGGCCCGACTAGTTACGTGATCATTCTGAAAACCTACACTTTTAAACTTAAAGTTGCGAAGTGACAATTTTTAATTAGTCTGCAATAAATTATCAAATATCGTAAGTTATTTCTAATTAGTATTTATTTGCGGTTCAAAAAAAAATAAAAAGCTAGCAGCCAGATTTTATATGATTCTAAGTTCTCATTCTTACTTTTGATCATCAAAAGATTCAAACAATAGTGTGTTTTATTTTTAAAGCTTTAATAAGGGGCTCCAGATTGAATTTTGGTAACGGCGGCCATTCTCAACGGAGAATAGCCATCTGCGCAGGGCAGGATTATACTACTCAAGTGTATGTGCAAGCACAGGTCTACCCTACTCCCTCTCTCTTATAGTCCGATGGACCGGTAATTCAAGACGACGGGAGAGAGATCAGGCGCGGTACCAATGGCTTTACGTGCTTCCATAAAGTTGAATTCGATAAGTTCAAAATCAATATTCCGGGCTGCTACTGAGAATTTTGTGACAGAAAAACCCAATAAATAATTCTTGACCCGACTCGGGTTTCGAAGCCGGGACCACATGATTGCGGGTACGACCATTATAGTTCATAAAATATAGCTTGATATCTGCGACAGCTGTCAGTAAAAATCACGCCTATGAAGTCCTGAGTTTCTTAGTAGTACAGACAGTACCTGTCAATGTCATACTTTATGGGCATGCCGACCTAATTAGTGCATACCCATAAAGTATGACATTGACAGGTACTGTCTGTACTACTAAGATATTCAGGACTTCATAGGCGTGATTTTTACTGACAGCTGTCACAGAGATCAAGCTATCTTTTATGAACTATAGACCAAAAAGGCGGTCAAAAGTTTTAAAACTATAATAAATTTAAAGGCGTCCCGCTCTGAGGAAAATAAATAAATGGTCACTTTATGTATAATATACACGTAACGACACACGACGTAAATTTATCGTTAAAAAAGCACAAAAATATCAAATGTAAATTTTAACCAAAAGTTTATGGTGTTGCCAACTTTTATATAAACTATTTCCCACTATTATAGGGAATAATAATATGTATTCTGCAGTGCCTATTAATTAAATATCTAAAAGATTTAACCGCTCAAACCCCAAGCGGTTGCATGCAACCGCGGCCATATTCTATCAAATCCCTAGCGGTCTCATGAGACCGCACCCACCCACAGCACTTTAACCTATAAAAACTTATATTTACGGACTATTTTCTATGACAAAATTTGGCAATATAGGCTCAATTGAAATTTCCTATCCTCTAATGCAATAAAAAGTAGTTAGTTTATGGTTTTTTATTTATAATCTGCGTTCATTTCGCACGCCTATTTCGTGTGACGTATTTAGGTGTTGATTTTTACATTTTTCTAATGTTTTATTAATGTGTAGTATAGTGTTTTATTATAAAATTGTTATTAAGTTTTTGTGTGAATATTATTTATCTTTTTACGTAAATAATTTTGAGTAATATATAGAAATATTTGTGATATTCAAGCTGCCATTCTGTGCTAGATAAGTACATTTTTAACTATGAAAATACAATTAAATTCTATTTATAATGAAGTTAAAGCACTAAAACAAGTAATATAACATAATAAATAAACAGAAACAAGTATTATATTTAAATTTATAATGAATATTATTGAAAATAAATGTATGACAAATTCAAGGTTAGATTATTTTTAGCAACGCCGCGTCACGCCAAGCGAGCGAGCGATGTTAGTCAATTTAGCTGGCGGCTGAGGGGTTAATGGCTTGTTGCAGTTTTCCTGTACATGATGATTTACGTCGGAATTGGATTAAAACTACAGGACGAACAGATTGGACACCAAAACTGTCATCAAGACTTTGCAACAGACATTTTAAGGATAATATGTTAATAAAATAGAAGAAACTTACTCCCCTATTGCCCAATGCTGTACCTATTCTGGTAAATGTTCAGTTAATGACATATTAAGTTTCGATTCAGGTTTTATATGATTTTTATACAGGGTATTTTTGAAACTCTTCCGAAAACGAAGACAGACGATAGGACTTAAGAAACCTTTGATGATGGGATGAAAATAAAAACGATCCCGGTGAAAAAAACAACATTTTTCACAATGTTTAATTAGCTTTATTCACGCTCCATCATGTTAAACATAAAAACAGCAGTGAAAACAAATCCGAAATCGAAATACGCGCAGCTCATGAGTGATTTATCTACTCAACTACGCGCGGCTCGCAGCCCGCGATCATACCAATACCTAATAATTTACAACATTTGACTAAATACCTAACTTATTTACTTAACCTACTATTTGGCCACTGCGCTAGTCTCCACCTAGCTTCACTCCACCTAGCACTTTAATTCGAATTTACAGGTTAAGTAAACCAAATACTTGGTTCGATTATGAAAAATTTACTTAAATTATTCTGGATATATGTTTATTATTCAATTATGTACCTATTCAGATCTGTTCTGCTTCTGTAATTATTTAATATATTATTAATTATTTTTGTATTCTGTAAAGTTATTTCAAAAAAATTAGGTACGAAACAGCTTACCGATCTAAATCCATAAATAAACCTTCCCATACGTTAACCAACGTTATTGCTGATGTGGTACTTCAGGGTATGGAACTTTTTATTCCTTCCTCTGCGGTGCCCATTGGAGGCAAGTCTCAGCCATGGTTTGGTCGCTCCTGTAAAATAGCATCATGCTATAAGCAGGAGTGCTACCAAGCCTGGGCTGATGCATCAGCGTCGCGGGATGTAAACACCAGCGCTCTAAAAAAAGAAGTATAATTCCGCCTCTAGGTCCTTCAAAAGAGTCATTGCCAAGGCAAAGTCAGAGCATTTAGGCAGAATTGGCGAGAAACTAGTTCGCCTTCCTTCTGGAACCCGTGCATTCTGGTCTCTCGCCAAGGCTGTCCAGGGGAATTTCTGTCATCCATCTCTTCCATCTCTGCACAGGGAGGACGACTCACTGGCCCATACCGCAAAGGAGAAAGCCGATCTTCTAGGCTCTTTCTTTGCGTCTAACTCGACTCTCGATGACGGGGGGAGTACTCCGCCGACCATCCCGCGGTGTGAGTGCTCCATGCCGGAAGTGCACTTCACACAGCGCTCGGTTCGCAAAACACTCCTCTCCCTGGACATCCACAAGTCGAGTGGGCCTGACGGAATCCCCCCAATTGTGCTGAGGACGTGTGCTCCAGAGTTGGCACCGGATTTAACGCGTCTTTTCCGGTACTCCTACTCCCTAGGCGTAGTCCCAAAATCATGGAAGACGGCTTACGTCCACCCGATCCCTAAAAAAGGCGACCGCTCTGACCCGTCCAACTACCG